GTTCAGTATGTGTCTTTTTAAATATCTTTCTTGTCTCGACTTAGCTTTTGAACATATGGAATACAGTTATAACTCTGAGTGACTCCTCTGCCAATTCCAATGTCTGTGTTAGTTCTCAGTCAGTTTTGATTGATTGATTTTTCTGCTTATTAAGGATCACATTTTTCTGCGGCTTTTCATGCCTTGTAATCTTTGATTAGATGCCAATCATTGTGAGTTTGACCTTGTTGGGTACTGAATGCTTCTGTTCTTAAAATTTCTCTTGAGCTTTATTCAGAGATGCAGTTATGTCACCTAGAAATGGTTTGTTCTTTTCATGGCTTGCTTTAGTGATTTCTTAGGAGGGCCCGAAGCAGTGCTCAGTTTAAAGCTAATTATTCCCCATGACTGAGGCAAGATCTTTCCAAGCAGTCCACCCAAGGCCCCATGAATTCTAAAGCTTTCAGGCTGATAAGAACAGGTACTGTTTCTGGCCCTGTGTGAATTCCAAGCCCCGTTTCTTCTAATTCTTTCCAATGGCTCTGTCCCCAGACTCAGATAATCTTCTCTCATGCATGAATTGATCAGTATTCAAATGAATTATTGAGGGAGATTCCTGTGCAGATTTCTTGACTTCTCTCTGTGCACCTGTCTCCTCTCTGGTACTTTACCTGTGAATTGCCTTGGTCCCTCCAGACTCTCAGCTCTGTCTCCCAAACGCAGGATGTTTTCTGGGCTCCACTTGGGTTCCTCCTCTGTGCATCAGGGCCTGGAAACTCTCTCAAGGCAGTAAGTGAGGAAAACCTAGAGCTCACCATTGTTTTGCCCTCTATGTCAGAAATCACTGGCCTTCATTCTTAGTGTTCAGTGTCCTACAAACCATTGATTCATATATTTTTGTCAGTTTTTTCCCAGGGAACTCTCATGTCCTGCTCTTGGTAATTAAAAGAGGTTAAAAAAAAAAAAAACAAAAAAACTATAAGTGGCCTCACCTTCTTCTCACCTTCTTCTCATTCCAGGCACCAGGCTCATGAGACATTTCTCCCAGAAACTGCCCTCCTGGTCCTATGGACCTATATGTGCCTGCTGACCTTGAACCACTGTGCCCAGCCCAGGGGACATGTGTGGGTTGCCATCACTGAGGAGATCAGCCTCTGTCCAATTCATCTGAAGGCTCCATGTGAAACAGCAACTTGTTAGACCTCCTCCAATCTGCCCCTTCCCTCTCCAGCTGGCCACCTTCTCTCCCGGGTACTGCAGGCCCTGAGCAGCCAGTTTAGGGGAATGGCTGCTGCCTTCCTATGAGGCCATCTAAACCAGTCTTGCATGGGCCTAGTCTTTGTCTCAGTAACAGTGGGCTGTGGTGAGAACGAGAGCAGGTCGGACACATGGTATAGACTCTGGGGCCAGATCAAAGTTACAAAAGCTGAGATGGCTAGCCAATGATGACAGGTCCTTGCCAAACTTTCTTTTTTAAATAGAGATGGTACATTCAAAAAAATTTTGGAAAATTTCTGCTTACAGTTATTTTGGGTCTCAGGTGTGTGTGTGTGTGTGTGTGTGTGCGCGTGTGTGTATTAGATTGAAACAAAACAAAGGGAATTGATACATCATTGTCCAATTTCTGAGGCTTATAACTCATCCACTTCCTTTAGGAATAACATCTAAGAACTTCTGTTAACTCTTCAGACTAACTGCACCAAACTTAAATAAGCCTTGTGTTAGTTAGCTTGGGCTGCCAACACAAAATACCAGAGGCTGGGGCCTTAAATGACAGACATTTCTTTTCTCACTGTTTGAAGTTGGAAGCCCAGGATGAAGGTGCCAGCAGTGCTGGTTTCTGGTGAGGCTATTCTTCCTGCCTAGGAGGTAGCCACCTTCTCCCTGTGCCACACATGGCCTTTCCTCTGAGTGCTCGTGGGGAGAGGGCATGCTGGTGTCTCTCCCTCGTCTTATAAAGACACCCATCCTATCAGATTAGGGCCCTCCTCTTATGACCTCATTTAACCTTAATTACCATGTTTGTTTTTTTGCTTGTTTTTTTGCTTGTTTGTTTTGGGACAGAATCTCACTCTGTTGCTCATACGGGAGTGAAATGGGCAATCTCTGCTCACTGCAGCCTCCACCTCCTGGGTTCAAGTGATTATTGTGCCTCAGCCTCCTGAGTGGGTGGGATTAAAGTTATATGCCACCACACCTGACTAATTTTTGTATTTTGTAGAGATGGGGTTTTGCCATGTTAGCCAGGCTGGTCTCGAACTCTCAACCACAGATGATCCACCTGCCTTGGCCTCCCAAAGTGCTGGGATTACAGGTGTGAGCCACCATACCTGGCCCCTTAATTACCTTTCTGAAGGCCCTATCTCCAAATACAGTCGCATGGTGGGGGCTTCATTGTATGAATCTGGGGGGTTCATAATTCAGCCCACACACTCCCTCAAACAAATCCCTTAGCAGCAGGCTCCCCATTCTCTTTTCCCGGCAGAGTTGCTGGGTTTAGCCTGGGTCCCCTGCTTGGTGTTCATTCTGTTCATCTGCAGGATGACAGGGGATAGTCTGGGTTTTCCACTGGGTGTCACTACATGTGAGCAGCTCCTCCTGACAAGGCTATTAGGCCCCTCTCAGGAACTCCCAGGCAGCCAGCCCTGGCAATGGAACCTCAGCAGCCGGTGTCCCAAGCCCAAGTCAGGACACCCAGTCATAGGAAAAGGCCACAGTCACCAGGAATTTATCAAGTAACACAGGGCAAGCTTGCCTATGCTTCAACCTCTCTCTCTCCCTCTCCCTCTCCCTCTCCACAAGTCCCGGTCCCCATTTCTCCTCTAACTGCCTCCCTTTCCCAGCCGTCCTGACCTCCCTGCTCTCTGCCCACTGCACCTCTATAACCCAGGAAGCATTGCAGCTTGGCAGTGGTTCCAAAATTAGCTGCACACTAGGATCACCTTGGGAGCTTTCAAAAGTCTCAATGTCGTCCCATAGGGATTAAATCAGGATGATTTAATCAGACATCCTGACCACATGTCTGATGGGTGGGAGGCAGACATTAGTACTTTTACTGATGAACTAGGTTTTGAATCCAGGCTTCATCACTCATTAGCCGTGTAGCCTTGGTCAAGTTATTGAAACCAAAATGGAGATAATAGTAGCAGTAACACCTGTTTCATAAGATTGTGGCAAATATGAAATGAGCTAATACCGTGAGGAGCCCTAAACAGAGTCTGCTGTGTAAGGTATGTGCGTCTGCCAGGTGTGCCCCAAAGAAAACCAGCACCTTACAGAGGAAAGGCCATGCAGGAGAATCCGTGTACTAACTCCCCTACGTGTGAAAGGGCAAAGAATGAGCTGACATCAAGTTCCTGCTTGGTATAGAGCAGGCATCGTTGGATTTCGTCTGTACAGCAGTTCCTCAGCATCAGGATTATCAGTCATTGTGTAGAGGAATAAGGCGGAAAGGGATAAACTCAGGTGGATCTTGTGGTGGAGCTGGGATTTATAACCAGGTCTTTCTCACTCCCAAACTCATGCCCTTTGTTTTGAAAAATGCTTTGGTTTATAAGAAAAAAAGGGAGAAAATACTTTGTGTAGTCTCAATGTCATTCACTAGGAAAACTGCAATGAGCTGGTTTGTATGGTACAGTTGTGGAGCTGGAACACATCAAACACCTGGAAGTGCTTTCATTTATTCAGAATAGGTAGGTGCTAATTAAATCATGGAAACTAACATTAAGATGAATATAGCCTCACTGCTAACATTTTTTGTAGAAGTTTAACTAGGTGGGAAACTTCCTGTTCTCTATTTTGGGTTCAAAATCAGACTCTGTTTGCTAGCTATGTGACCATGGCCAATTACTTAATCTCCCTGTGACTCAGTTTCCTTGCCTGTCAATTGGAGATAATACTAGAAACTCCCTGGTAGAGTTATGAGTCTTAAATGAGCTTAATATAGGCCTACCCCTCAGGGCAGCAACTGACACATGGTATGTCCTCACTCAATGTTGCTGTTACTACCATTTAGGGAATGCAAATCAGTCTTCCAAACTCCAAAATTTCAAGTGGCTATTCCAAATTAGATGGAAGAGTGCTAAGTGAATACCAGAAATGCCACTAGATCTTAATAATTTCTTTTTAATATCAATAACTCCAACCCCCATTCACACTACTCCTTCCAAGTAAACATTCCACACCCCTTCCCTAGCCTGTGCCCTCTTCTGCAGTGAGGGCCTGGACCGTGCTCAGAGAAAAGTGATTTAGGCCTTCCTGTAGGGATCTGAGAGTGAGGCAGATGGTTGCCTGCACAGACAGCTTGGATGTGAGGATCACTGGGCTCTCCTCCTGCTCCTCCTCCCTGGAAGAGCACAGGCAACTTAACAGTCCCCTTGCCCAGCCTTTAGCCAGGCTCCCCTGAATGCTCTTCTCAGCGAGGCCTCAATCTTTGCACTCCTATGCTCATCTTTGTGTTGTCTGATTTTAGCAAAAAGGCTAAGTCAGTGTAGGCAGAATGGCCCACCTTGGTATCTGATCACCTTGCTATTTGATCAGTGTCCTCGTCCCACCGTCCCCCAGGTAACGTCTGATCACACTGGCCTCTCTCCTGCAAGAGTCCTGTTAAGTTGATTTAGCCAGAAGCCCCTTGCCCCTGATGTCTCCTCTTAATAATTTTTCATCCTCTGGTGTCCCCCTGCTCCTTGGCTATGAATCCCCACTTGTCCATGTTGTATGCAGAATCGAGCCTAGTTTTATATGGAGGTCTGGTTTCCCTCAGTATACAAGAGTTTGTCAAGAATCTGTTTTTACTACTTTACTGTCCTACTCTGGGCCTTGACAAGCTCCACATACACACACATGTGAGCACATGGGCACACACACACACACATGCATGTACAGCACCCCTGCCCCCCACCCCACACATCTCTGGCTGCTCTCCTCCGGAGCTCCCCGGTCAGGGACATGGAAGCAGCCCCTGGTCCCCAGCTAAAAACATTTATGACCCGTTTACATCAGTGACCAGAAATAGCACCAACCGCAGTTCACTGTGGCCATGTCGGGCTTGGGAGGCTTGGCCACCAGCCTCTGGATCTGGGCCAGCGTGCTGCAGGCTTCCTCCATCTCTCGCCAAACGAGAAACACGTCCTCTCTGACACCGGCTCCTGGAAGGGGAGACACACTGTGAGCGGCTGGCTGAGACAGGCCCGGGAAAGTGGCAGCCCGCCTAGCAGTCCTGACACATTGTAGCCAAGTTTCTAGAACATTTCTGAACATCAAATTCTACTTCCCCCACTAATCTCTTTCTGAGAATCAGAACTGAAATCTCCAAGGAAGTGATATCATCTCAAGAAATCATAAATGCAGACTTTAAGATGTAATAAATCCTTCTGAAGTAAATGTTTGTAGCAGCCAGAATATTTAAAATGAATTATTGATAATACCCAAATAAGACAGGAATAAAAACATTCAAAAGTACCTCATACAAGCCAGGGTCACCACTGTGAGGAAGGGAAATGCAATGGCATGTGAAAGCGGCAACCCCCAATCTTTTGGCATGTGGCTGAGATGTCCTGCTTCTTTGAAACCACAAGTATATATTTCCCCCAATATAATAATGATTGTTTGGTCTGCTTTTCTGGACCTCTGTTGTCTCAGTTAAGGGTTAGGTTTGACTGTATAACATTTTTTTTAATGATGTGGCATCGTTAATTTAGATATTTATGTCTTTCAATCAATCTAAGTTCATACCAAGGAGCGTGGTTTAGGGCTGGGATAGAGGCTCTGCCTTCATGGAGACAGATGAGCAGTTTCCAGATGTTGGGGCAGGTGTGGGGTGGGGGATAATGGATGTGTACTCCGTATTGTGTTGTGTAGAGGTGCATGATGAGGGGTTCTCTCCTGCTGCCTTAACTATATCAAAGTCAAGGCCCCGGCTATGCTGTGGTACTATGATACTATGGGGGAAAGTGGGTAAAGAATAGATGGGCATGCTGGGCTTGGTGGGCTCATGCCTGTAATCCCAGCATTTTGGGAGACTGAGGTGGGCAGATCACTGGAGGTCAGGAGTTTGAGACCAACCTAGCCAACATGGTGAAACCCCCTCTCTACTAAAAATACAAAAATGAACCAGGCAGTGGTGGCAGACACCTATAATCCTAGCTATGTGGGAGGTTGAGGCAGGAGAATCGCTTGAACCCAGGAGGTGAAGGTTGCAGTGAGCTGAGATGGCACCATTGCACTCCAGCCTGGGCGACAGAGCGAGACTCTGTCTCAGAAAAAAAAAAGAATAGATGGGCATCTGTATATCACTTACTATCACTGCATGTGAATCTACAATTATCTCAGAATAAAAAGGTTCATTTTTAAAATCTTGAAAACAGATCTAGGCTCTTTCTATCCTGCTACTCAGTCATCTCAGCACAGCCTTCTGTCCTCGGCCACCTTATGATTCAGCATGGTGTCTTCAGTGCCAAGTAGCATGTCCAGATGACAGTCCTGAACAGGAAGGCCGCTGGGAGGATCCAGAAGCACACCCCCCAGCTGAGTCAGTTCCCTTGAAGTGCCCTGCCCGGAAGTCCCACCCCACAGCCCCATTACTTAGCCACTGCCAAAATGGCATCACATGGCCCTGTCTGTTAGCAAGGGAAAATGTTAACTGGGAAATGCTTTTAGGCAGGGTACACTGTAGCCCTAAGTAAAATCAGGGCTACAGCCTAAGGAGCAATGGAGTGAATTCGGATGGCAACTGGCAGTCCCTGCCCTTGGCTGAGATATGTTCTGCCACCAAATGACCCAGAAGCCCCTTCTTCCCACTTCCCAAGTCTGCATGGATGTCCAAGACCCCATAACCACAGACGATGAGAAACCACCCTCCAGTCCTCAGGGCACCCCAGGAGATTCATCTACCCAGGGCCAAAGGATTGGTCCTAAGCCATCAAGGCAGACTAGGGCAGACCAAAATTGATGTTTCTGAATTTTAAAATATAGTCAAGAAGGGTAGAGCAGAAAAAAAAGGGATATCAAATTTCTAGCTCTTGAAGTGCCCAAATCAAGTGAGAGCGTATCAATAACTGTGTTCCTAAAGGTGCATGTGATAAGCTTTGACAGAGATGGATGGCCACCATGGCTCTGTGGCCATCAATAGCCCGGGGAATGAAACATGATGTGTACTGAGCTCCATGTTGAAACTCCAAAAATAATGCATGCTGACGCCAGATGTGAACCTTAAGCCCACAGGCCCTCTGACCGCTGTAAAATTGAGACAGATTGTCTGTCAGCTGCTTGCTTCAGCCTGGAGGTGTTAAGTAGCAGGATTCTCTTAAAGGTTCCAAATGAGTCAAGGCTTTCCTCTAGACTTATCAATAATATCTTAAGAGGGAGTACACCACAGGGCAGTGTCAGAGGAGAAAGTTCCAAGGAAAGTCAGTCGACCCTTAGTCATCCAGGGACAGGGAAATGTGTCTCTGGGGCAGCAGTGACCTGGACATGCTCCCTGTGAAGGAAGTCTCGAGGATTATCACCACTCCAGTCTAATGATCATGATGAGGCAGCTATAGACTGCTACATCGGTGATCAGAGAGCAACATAAATCCATCTGATTTGCTTTGCTAAAAAAGAAAAAAACTGAGAAAGAAAGCTACATGGCAGTAAAAGCAACATTAGAATGCACAGGTTTTATTTCAAGTTATTCCTCATGCAGTGAGAAAGCACTGCTGGTTTTATTAAGGTCACTTTTAATGACTTAGCTGGGGTATCAGACAGCCACAGTCAAGGGACAGAGCCCCACTGCAGATGGAAGAGAATGGGGGCACAACCCCACCGTTCAGACCTTCATGAATTTGAAATTCTCCAGGCTACACCAGGGAGGAGATAAAACAACAAGAAGCCATAGGCATCTTTTTTTTTTTTTTTTTTTTTTTTTTTTTTTTTTTTTGAGATGGAGTGTTGCTCTGTTGCCCAGACTGGAGGGCAGTGGCGTGATCTAGGCTCACTGTAACCTCTGCCTCCCAGGTTCAATCAACTCTTGTGCCTCAGCTTCCCAAGTAGCTGGGATTACAGGCACATACCACCATGCCTGGCTAATTGTTGTATTTTTTTAAGTAGAGATGGGGTTTCACCATGTTAGCCAGGCTGGTCTTGAACTCCTGACCTCAGGTTATCTGCCCACTTCAGTCTCTCAAGTGCTGGGATTACAGGCTTGAGTCACCGCCCCCAACCAAAGCTGTATGTCACTTAACTGTCAAGGTGGAAGCCAACCAAGGCCTGCCTGACAGCAGAAGCTGGATACCGTTCCTCATGGAGACGTTCAGGAGACTTAACGGATTCTCCAGCCAGAACGCCTGCCCGCCCAATCCCCCGCCTTGCATGACTGCTGCGCTCCCAGACATCTGGTAACAAGTTGAAGGCTGAGTGTGGTGGCTCATGCCTGTATCCCAGCACTTTGGGAGGCCAAGGGAGTCAGATCACCTGAGGTCAGGTGTTCGAGACCAATCAGGCTAACAGTAAAACCCCATCTCTACTAAAAATACAAAAATTAGCTGGCTGTGGTGGTAGGCACCTGTAATTCCAACCAGTCAGGAAGCTGAGGCAGAAGAACCGCTTGAACCCGGTAGGCAGAAGTTGCAGTGAGCCAAGATCACGCCATTGCATTCCAGCCTGGGCAACAGAGAAAGACTCTATCTCAAAAACAAACAAACAAAAACAAAACAAAACAAAACAGTTTGAAGGCTCGTGTTAAATTGCTAACATACCCGGGAGCAATGTTACAATCAGCTGCTGTTTTTCATCAGCACCTGGTGTTGACTTCTCAGATTGGTTAGTTTGACAAATAAAGTAAGACTCAGGACAGGAAGTTTTGATGCCAAGGAGAAAAGTCCACAGAGTACCTGCTGCCAAATGCCACTTCCCCGTCCAGTCTTCTACATCTCACCTACAGGATAAAAGCTGGTTGCCAGGTCTAGTTAACTAATAGTCATTTGGCAAATATGTGTTGAGCACCTCCTCTGCAGTGGGTGGACCCTGTCCGTGCTGGGGCTGCAGTGACGAGGACCCCACTCCCTGGGCTGGTGTTAAGCTCAAGATTCAAGGCTCCCATGACACTCCTCTAACACTCTGCTACCATGAACCCGGTCAGAGCACTGTCCTCCCAGCCCTGTCCCCTGTATTAGAGGACTGAGCCCTCCACTGCAATCCCACCCTTCACCGAAGGCATAGTCTTGACTCCACCACCCCAGGAAATGGTGAGCTACCTCCTGATCCCCCTTCCCAGTCCCGTAGAATGAACCAGGGCACCACTGGTCTCCATCCTCTTGCTGCCAGAACACTCTCGGGCCACACCGTTAGTGAACCTGCCTGTGTGTACAGTTCAGTTCCTAGCTGCCTGTCACTCAGCCTTCAATTCCAAAGAATATAAAGAACCAGGAGCCGGTGATGGTGACATCATTCTGTGCATGACCTTGAGCCCAGTCTAATTTAAGTCAGCCTTCCACGAACACCATGCTTATTTTTAGTAGGTAGCTGCCTACAACACAGCCCAGCTGTCAGCAACATGTCCCTGGCCTGCCAGCTGTCCTGGGCTGGGGTCTGCGGCTCTCCTGTGATGCTCAGGCACTTGCTGTGTGTGTGTGTGCATGAGCTGACTTTGCCCAGTGGATGGTAAATGTCTTAAGCATAGGGACAGTGTCTTTTCTTTCTTTGTATCCTCGACAACACTCAGCCCAGGTTCTAGTGTTTTCTGTAAGAATTTCTATCCTTCCTTTTTATTTTTCCTTATTAGACAGAAACAGTTCTGGATCACCCAATACATTCTTTCCTCATGATTACAAGAAACTCTTTGGAGGGGTATGCAACAGACTCAGATCATCTGAGCACATGGCTGTGCCCAAGGTATTCCAGACACTGACAACGACATGCCTTAAGCACAAAGTCATTTCCTTCTAGGTTCATGCCACTGTAAGGCAAGACTCCCCCGCCTGCCGCCAGGTATCTGAAGTACTCTCTTCCAGGACAGCAGGAGAAAAGCAATTAGAAAGACAGGCAGGTGCAGTGCTAATGCAAGGTGCAATTCAATGTTGCCCTGGGAGAGGATAGTCCAGAAACAAAACCACCTTGGGGACTCCTGAGTCCCCAGACCATCCCCTTGGTCCCACTGTGGCTCATTTTT